ATAGAATAGAATAGAATAGAAATAGCCTTTGTTGTCGCATAGAGGGAAATTCAGGTGTCACAGCAGCAGCAGGTACATCAATTCACAAAACTGTATTGTGGTGGACCAGGCGAGACAGAAATCTAGCGGCTAAGCTAACTCMCTGAAACTAAATTTCCTTTCGTAAAACTAAATTAATCCCGAACGGTCCGACCGCTCGTAAAAACCCCAACCAATGGGAGACAGAGGGCGGGCAATAAAGAATTAGAATTTCTTATGCAATGTGCCAAACTAGAAATAGTTTTGGTATTAATACAACAAAGTTTTCAAGATTCAAGATACTTTATTGTCATTCACATCACGTATTACATGAGGTGGAACGAAATTAGCTCACCGTGTTTCCGCTTAGCAAAAGGTTAATTTCCTCCAATGACCAGTTCACTCTCCGAGTTGAAGAAAGACCTCAGTCTGCAGGGATAACGACGGAGAAAAAAGATACAGAAGGAGAACTCCTCAGGCGGAAGAAAACAAAATCTGTCGCTGACGACCCTCTTCGCCCAGTGGGCTCTCTGGCGTTGAAGCTAATTCGTGACGCCAATTGTAGTGGAAATATTTAATTATTAAAAGGCAGAAACTCGTGAATAAAAAGAAGATGCACTTCGTGGAATGGCCGCCGTACGATTTAATAAGGTTTGCATTTGCAAAGATGAGCCGCAGCGTGACCAGATCTGAACCAGAGAGTCTGGACACACGCAAGGTTACAGGAAATGAGGTTTAACATATGGGCGGAGCCTATGGACAACCAATGAGGCAACGACAAGTCTCACAGTAGCTTAACTGAAAAAAGGACACGTCAAAGAGACAATGGTGCCTCCAAAATCAGAACAGATAATATGAAATCATGGCAGTAAACAAAAAGATACAAATAGAAATGTCAATTATTTTCTAGTACAAATATATTGCTATGCAACATTATCAGTAGTAGTGATAATAATAGAATTAAAAATAATAATACTAAAAATATTAAAAATTACAAAATGCAATAAAATTGAAATAACATAAAAATGTAAGATACTGTGCAGAAAAAAATGACGTGGTCATATGACCACAAGTAAACATTACAAGAAATCAGTCATGGCAGACTCATGCAGTGTTCCAGTACTGAAAAATACATGTCCAATATCCACAGAGTATTATTTATATAACTATGTGTTAGCTAATATCRACTAAATCTGTGTGTGAGGACTGGATGAAACATTTTTGTTCAGAGGGCAGACTGCTAACGTTAGCTAGCTAKCTTTGCTAACATCACTTAMACAAAGACTGTCCAAATTCAGAGGCTGTGTCCTCCGAAGGCCGAATTATGTGGCTGAAGGCTGCAACACCTGCAGCCCACAAATCTTATCTGTCCTTGTTTCCCACCARTTTGAGTGATGGGTACGGTGTATCCTCAGCCCTCCCTATCCCAAGATGCATTGCAGGCCGACTCGGAGGTTGTTTTGCTTGTAATGGCGGACAAAACGAGAGACCGGCGTACAGTTTTAAATAAAATCTGACGGTACACAAATTGAAAGTTTAAAGTGTGTTGTTAGACTTTTGTCATTTTAAATACATATTATTCTTGTCATAAATCACAGTAAACGAGCTCGTATGGTGGGTCGCTTAGTTCAAGTATTGCCTCTTAGCTAATTTTGTTCATTTATGATAATAATGTATTAATATTTTGCTCATTTTGATWTGTTTTGGATTTCTGTTGCTTCTGTTTAGCTCTGTTTAGCTCCGGCCCACGTAGACTGGGTGGGTCGGGTCCTTTGAAGGACGCTGCTCCTGAATTTGCACACAGCCATAACTTTACCTTCCTTTGTGTTTCTTTCTAAGTGATGATAAAAGTTTGTCGCAGTCTGAAAGTGAAGCTCAAAAGTWCAGAATTATAAAGAGTCACACTTGGATTTGAATCACAATGTTTTACATCCAATCAAAGATGTTAAACTGGACAATATTCTGTTGATTTACTGATCTTTCCACAGTTGTGGTCTCCTCAGTGTCTGAGATGAGACGGAGATGGTCGGAGCTGCTTACAGTCATCGTTTGTGTTTGAACCTCCTCCTCCTCCGGTTGTTTCCTGATGTTCAGACTCTGGTTTCTGTTCATTAAGTGTAATTGAAGTTTCTCTGACCTGCGTGGCCCGCAGCGGGCCGGTGTCGTCATGCGTCTGAATGCTGCTCTGTTTTATGATGAAGATGACCGATGAAGAGGACCRTCGTGTTCAGACGTCTGGAACTGAGCGTCAGTGAAAACGTGTGGTTTCTGTCCGGCAGAGCTCTGAGGAGGTGCGAGGGGATGATCCAGCGTTACAGCCGGGGGGTGAACTTGGACCGGGCCGTGGTGGGGACGGCTGTGGAGAACTGCATGAGGGCCATCATCGGGGTCCTGCTCAACCTGACCCACGACAACGGTGACAACACAAACACCTGATGTTTCCACAGGAACCGGGTCACGTGTGTGTGTCCTGCTCATGTGACCCTGCGTGTGTGTGTTTGTGTGTGTTTGCAGAGTGGGGCAGCACGAAGACGGGCGAGCAGGAGGATTTAATGGTGACGGCTCTGAACTGTGTCCTGAAAGTCCCCCAGTTCCTCCCTCAGGAGCAGAGGTTCGACATCAGGGTTCTGGTGCGTCTGAAAAGTTTCAAAATAAAGTTTATTTTCTAAAAAGTAAAATTGAGAGAAAAACAAAGATCAGAAGTAAGCCTGGGTGATAGACCGAAAAATAACCGACATTTATGACAATAACTGACGTCATTTAGCCTGTGTCGGTATTTTTGGTATTTAAAAAAAACGGGGAAAAGAGAAACTTATCTGTTGTCTTGTTAAAGCCACCCGGTCTGATACAGGTTCAAACAGACGCTGCTTTCAACAAATCAAACGAACCCCGCAGCTTTATCCAATCAGAGCAGAGCAGGGCGGGGCTTTCTGATGTCGGTGCAGCCAGAATATACGTTTATGTGTTCAGAGCGTCGTTATCCAACAGATATGTCCGATTTCGCTCATGTGACCAAACCSGTCTCCTCGAGCACGCCTCGTTCTGTACGASCTGCTGTTTCAGCTCTTCCAATGAAACAATATTAACTCTRTTAACTTRTTTACCCCATTTTATAGTAAAGATGAGCCTCCGCTTAACATTACCCCCCCGAAACAAATTCTCTTTTCTTTTTGTAGTTAACAGGGTTCCCACGGGTCCTTGAAATCCTTGAAAGTTTGTGAATCAGAAAAAAATGATTTCAAGGCCCGAAAGTTTGTGAAAACGGCCAAAAATTACACTTGTCCTTGAAAGTCCTTGAATGTTTTTTGGGGATTTTTGGGATCATCTTTTTAAAAAAAATTATAAAATTAAATAAAAAAACGTACATTTGTTGCAGTGGATAACTCAGGATTATGGTAAAATGACATCATTGTTTCTGACTCAACTTCTATGCAGTAGGTAATTGCGGTCGCACGTGGTTCTTTAATTTGAGGAAATTGGTACTGGAAAGTCCTTGAAAGGTCCTTGAATTTGATGTTGACCAAGGTGTGGGAACCCTGAGTTTATCATAAATATCTACAAATTTCATTCTTCACAATATAGTTTACTTATATTTAGAACCACACTGACTGAACCGCTCTGTGATTCAATAAATGATCAAATATGAAGAATAAATTGTATGAAATGATTACATGCGCTCTTTAAATAATGTTTTTAAAAGAAATAGTTATTTTAATAGAGAAATCAGTCAGTCTAACAAATAAAAAGATGTATTTAAGTTGTTTTGTGCAGAACAAAAGACATTTGGTATATTTTTAAATGTAAAATTACAGTACATACTGTACATAATGTGTTTGTTTGCACTGAAAAGTTATGGAGATGGTTAAATAATTGTATGACTATATTTGACTCAAGTTTTACCTTTTTTATTTATTAAAAACACTAAAATGATGAATATAAACTACAGAAAAGCTGTTTAAAATCAAACTCTTCCTTTGGTCCAAACGGTTCAGGTTACAGTGTTTGTATAAAACTTCATTAGAGAATACTAAACTGTGTACTTTGACTAAGAACATGGACACAGTGTATTTGACTATACTATACTGTGTACTTTGACTAGGAACATGGACACAGTGTATATGACTATACTATACTGTGTACTTTGACTAGGAACATGGACACAGTGTATATGACTATACTATACTGTGTACTTTGTGTGGGGGTGGGAAGAGTTATTGTACATTTATCGTTATTGAGGTGATGTTGATTTTAGGCCATGTGGCCCGGCTCTAATCAGAAGTCCTAAAATGAAAACTGGAACCAGATTCTGACGGGTCTGGGTGTTGTTGGGTCCAGGGTCTGGGTCTGCTCATCAACCTGGTGGAGTACAGCGCCAGGAACCGGTACTGTCTGATGGAGATGGAGATGGAGGGGGGTCAGGGTCCCTGCGACTCCACCGTCCTGCTCAACCCGCCGCCCCAGGACCCRAGCGGCGGCGCGGGGCCTCTGAGCGCCATCGCCGCCCTGGTTCAGGTACGGCAGCGGTCTCACGGGTCCGATGATCCGGTCCTACTTCCTGTTTGAAGAGGTCAGAGCTTCAGGCCGACACTGAGGCTCGTCTCCTCCCTCAGCTCTTCCTGCAGCGGGAGCGAGCCGCCGTCCTGGCCGAGGCGCAGACCGATGACCTCATCAAGGAGACCCCCAAGGCGGCGCAGGACCAGAGCGGGCAGTGGCAGGAGACGGGCGGCGAGATCCAGTGGGTCGCCAACGACGAGACGGAGAAACAGGAGGACGTGCAGGAGAAGAAGGAGGACGAGGAGGACGAGCCGCTGGACCTGAACAAAGGTAGAAAAGGCTCCGCCTTCTTTCAGGTGTTGTTAAAGGAACAAAGACTAAAAGCAGCTGTGTTCCTGTCAGCTCTGCAGCACGCAGGGAAGCACATGGAGGACAGCATCGTGGCCTCGTACACCGCTCTGCTGCTGGGCTGCCTGTGTCAGGGGAGCCCTGTGAGTTTGTCTGCTGTGAGTCATGAAGCCACGCTGAGGCGGAACACTCGTCTCACTCTGTGTGTCTCCCTCAGATGAACGTGACTACTGTGAGAGAAAACCTGCCCAAAGGAGACTTCTCCATCATGACGGAGATGCTGAAGAAGTTCCTGAACTTCATGAACCTCACTGTGAGTTCTGTTCACTCTGGGTTTTAAGCATCTGAGAGGGCGGGGCTTACTGCAGGTACCAGAGGGTTTAAAGGGAACTGATTAGTTGTGACTTTAGTTTTCCTTCAGTGAGGCTGAAGGTYCCTGTTGGACAAATCTGATGATCAGAACTTTTAAAGGGATCCYCMATTAGTTGTAACATTAGACTTTATTTTAAAAACATATACTTTAACTGTAAAATAAAGACTGTAAAAATACTGTAGGATGTTTAGTTTTTATAATTTAAAGTAAAATAG